AAGTGTAGAAGCTCCTTCCTGGGAAGTTTTATGGAGCTGTAGCAAGGCCAAGGTGGTGCTCAAAGACGGTGTCTCTCTACTTACATTCCCTGGGAGTGCTTCTGAGCCTGTAGATTAGGCCTTTTTCACCAGAAGACTAGGGTTTTGTTTTAGTCTGCTGTCCATGCAGTGCCCTGAGGATAGTGACTGCCAAGAACTGCCTTTCCAGTTGTCACAGTGCTATGGAGCTCTGGAATACCGGGTCTTCTGGCCACCAGGGCCAAGTATTCAAGGGGTGTCCAAATGCTTGAATTGTGTGTGCCCACTTGGTTTTACAAGCTAGAGAGTGCCACGTCTGTGCATTCATACCAGTTTTAGGCTGGGAATGGGAGAATGCTGGGATCACTCATACTCAGCAGCCCTGGCCCAAGAGTAGGGGAATGTTGCACTGCCCACTGCTCCCAGACATCAGCTAGTGAGCAGGAGGACTCCGTGACCAGTGGTGTTGCCCACAAGGAGCACTATAACCACCAATGCCCTCCTGCCTCACCAAGTGCCACGACCGCTTGCCCCTGTCCATCTCAGCAAGGCAGCAGAAGGGTGCCACATCCAAGCCCATCCACCTGTACTAGTAGGCTATATATGAAAGTGCAACGGTGACATCTATTTTCCAATGCCTCTGTCCCGGAGAGCCTTTCAACTGTCCCCTGCCCCTCCAGCCAGTGTCCCTAGATCAGCAGATGAATTCCTCACATATAATGTAGGTGCTTTTTAGTGCTGTTGTTTTGCTGGATCTCAAGGCAAGGAAGACAGCATGTAAGCCCTTAAAGAGGGTAATATCAGTTTCCTTTACCTTTGGGAACCTCAAATGTTAGTCCCAGTGGGTTTTCCAAGCCACACATTCTGGGGGTTCATCTCTCTGGTTTAGATCCCAGGAGTTAGGGTAACCAATCCTATGTGGGGAACCAATCCCTGCCTCCTGCTTCTCTAGGAGAAGTGCTCATCTGATGACATCCCTCCCTTCTGTGTGTTGCTGTGTCAGGGGTGGGGCTTTTTCTACCCATCTCAATGTGGTTCTTTTATCCTTTGTGGTGGAGAGTGGTTTATTTCATTTTCAGATATTTTTCAGAGGGAAATGATCCTTATGTGGTGGGATATCTAGTATCCACCTCGGAGAAGGTAAGCTCAGGATCTTCCTACACTGCAATCCTGGGTGCCCTCTTATCAGAAAGCTTGATAAGCACTTAGATGGGTACCCAGGACCTCCAGGGACTCGATGTTGAACAAAGTGTTCAGATAACCGGAGCAAAAGAAACATTACTCTTTATTTTTTTTAAACCTTTTTTTTAATGTTTTATTTATTTCTAGGAGAGAGAGAGAGAGACAGCGTGAGCAGGGGAGGGTCAGAGAGAGAGGGAGTCACAGACTCTGAAACAGGGTCCAGGCTCTGAGCTGGCAGTCAGCACAGAGCCCGACGCGGGGCTCGAACCCACGAACCGCGAGATCATGACCTAAGCGAAAGTCGGACGCTTAACCGACTAAGCCACCCAGGCGCCCCGAAACATTACCCTTTATAATAAAGGGTAGTAAGGATATTCAGTGCTAGAGAACAGTGAACTAGGAAAGAAAATACCAATGAGTCACACCAAATTTGCCTGGAGAATGAGTCAGGAAAAGACTGCCCTCTTCCCTCAGTTTTACTTGGGATAAGTACAGTCCTTTATGAAGAACATTAATGTCTAGTAGTACTAGACACCATTACTGCTATGAGATATAAACCCCTTATTCTATTATATCATTTTTATGAAATGATACTTCAATTCTATACTCTTCAACAATAATACTTTTTGGGAATAGACTTTTGTTTAGGACATCTGAATAACTTGTGTGAAACCTTGAGCATAATGGTCAGCACACAGTAAAAGCTAAATCTTACAATTTTTTAATCTTGTTATCAGTCTCATACTATGCAACACTAATAATACAGTAGAAACAAACAAACAAAAAAAAAACCTGCCTTGTAATCCTTGATCTGGTTTGAATGTGTGCATCTTTATTTTGTGTTGAATACTTCTGAAACTAAAACTGCAATCAAATTTTCTCATGTTTATGTTTTTAGAGGTGCCCAATCTCAATATGTAATAGGAAGATAGAAGTAGAAAGAGTCACAGAACAGTAAAAGTTCCTCTCTTGTGCCACCGTTGTTTTGCAAAAGAATAGATAATATGTAGAAGTGAAGAGTTTGTATAGGAGGGTGCTATTCTATTACTGACAGTAGTTATCTTGCATTTTGGAAGCAGTGTTCTTCTACCTTTGTGGAGCCATCCTGGCTGCTAGAAGCCCTATCGCCGTTGCTTATGAGTGCCCACAATTGTCACTCAATTTTAAGTTTCAGAGTCTCTTCCTAACTAATCAAAATCAAATTGAAGAGTACCTTGCTTATAGCTGGTGCTCATTAAATGTTTGATGTATTGAGAAATAGCTAAGAAGTAACTGCGTGATTGCTGAAAGATGGAAGCAGTCAAAGATTGCCAAATATTTGGCTCATGTCTTCAGACTGCTGGAACTTAACATATTCTAAAGTCTTTAGGGGTAAAATCTGCTCCTTACTCAGTATTATTTTCCTAGTAGATATCAGGCTCTCAAAAAATAAAAATAATAATACAAGAGTGTGGAATATATACAAAACAGTCATCTGAGTCTTTCTTCCAGTCCCGCAGAGGCCCTTTGTTTTATTTTATTTTTATTTTTTCAAGTAGACTCAATATCCACCATGAGGCCCAACATGGGACTTGAATTCACAACCCTGAGGTCAAGACCTGAGCTGAGATCAAAAGTTGGATGTTTACTGACTGAGCCACCCAGTTGCCCTGCAGAGGCCCTCTTAACCAGGTTCTCTGTCATGGTCAATCTCAAACTAACTGTTCAGTCTCTACAACTTTCTGGAGACTACATTTGGACTCTCTGTGACCACACAAAGAACTCACCTGAACTGGAATTATTCTCATCCTTAATAGAGTACTTTTTGCTTCTGTTCAAATACACAAAGACATTTAATTATCCAATGAGATAACCTATTAAAGAGCTTAGATACATAATAGACATTTCATGAATGCTAGTTTCATTTGTGTTACCTCCCCTAAGAGGAAAAATAGTGAATTGTGTTTTTCATTTCCATAAACAATAGACAATACATAATATAGATTTATTTTTATGGAAATAATGTTAGATTAGTTGGGTACTTAGACCATAGGAATGATCAAACAACCAAAAGGATGGGTTTTAGATAATTTTAAAAATAAGACTGGCCAATATCCTGCTTGTTAAATTTCTTTTTCCCACTTGCCTAGAATTTCTTGGGAGCAGAGATCGTGCATTGTTCATTAAAAGTTCCTGGTATAGAGTCTGAAGCATAGTAAGGACACAATTAAGCTTGTGAAATGAATAAATGAATGAATGATGTTGTATTAGATACTGTGTAAAGGTAACATTCGGGGAGATATATAAAATCATTGGCATAATCTAAAACTGAATTGTTAAGAGAGAAAACCTGGTAGAGATCCTTTTTCAATCTACATAGATGTGTGCAGTCTGGGATCTTAACTATCTGGCTATCAATTCCACAGTTCAGAAGATAACAAAAATAAAATAAAATCATATATCCAGAGAGTTTGGGGCTGACTTAGCCTACTGGCCTTTTACAGGTACAATTTATTTTTACAGTAAAGAGAAGAACACTGAATCTTCCCAGAATAACCTGATTCCAACAGACTTAAATAAAGTTGTTCATTTTTCCAGGTTTTTGACATACTTCTGTCTTTCTAGACTATGAAGTGAATCTCCATTTCCCAAAAGCCCCAGTGCCAATTTTAATGATCCTGTCCATGTGACGTACATTTTTTTGTTTTGTTTTATTGCTATTAGTGAATGACAAGTGAAGGATATTCTTTTTAACTTGAAAATGTCAGGGATGCACTTTAAGAGATATATTTTTGCAGCTTTTAATGAGGTGGTGTTTCTTTTTGAAAGAAATACTCATCTCTGATGCCTGTGCTGTGCAGGTGACAACTGATATTTAATAAGCGGTGGTTCTTGTATTAGTCACAGTTCTCTAAAGAAAATGTCTCCGATTGCTTTTGAAAAACTCTTAGCGTCACTAGCCCAAAGGCAAGATGTGACCTTTTTATTACATAATGAGAATCATTTATTATCTTACAATGTATCTTAAAGTCACAGACAAAATGCCACTTTGATAATTGCTTTCAATTAGCTTTGAGCATAGCATATATTCATAAAATGTCTTCTCTAATTTAGACTTGAATTAGAGAAAATTGCAGACATAATCTACTTTAAGGTTGTCTCATTTAAGGTGATTCGTAGTTTTATATCAAAGAAATCAAAACGAGTAGCTTCAGAACGGTCTCTCAAAGTGTTTGAAGCAGGCTTTTCAATATTTGATTCTATTCTATTACCAATTAATTAACAAATTAGAAAGCTAGTTCATCATTTCTGACCTTTTATGCACGTTAACTTTTGACTTTCATTCCTAATGATTGTTTTGAAATTAAACCTTGCAGTTCGTGTTGAAAGAGAGAAACAATCTGATTAGCAAGATAAATAAGGCTTGTCTTGATACCCTGTGCATCTTGATATTGGGCTGTAACTGGGCTTCTGAATGCTGTCATGGTACATCCCATCCCACTTTAAATGGTCACTGAATGATACTGGATAATCCTGTCGCTGAAACAAAGAGTTTTGCAGTGTTACTACAAGTGAGGGTGGAGGTAACATGATATTTACAATGTGATTTCAGTTAATTTTTATTTTTTTGTTTATACCCTGAGCATTGGAATCTGGCTTAAATGCACATTTTTATCTGCCTTAAAATTATTTTTGAAATAATAAAAACTCTGAACATACATTTTACACTTGTGGTGTTCTAGTAACTCATGGAATATTATTGACCTTAACAGAGACTCTCTGAAAAATGGAGATTACTCTCTTTCTCTTTCTTTCCCTAGATAAAAATCACACACAAGAACCAAGCCCCAATGCTGATGGGTCCTCCTCCAAAAACCGGGCTCTTCTGCTCCCTCGTCAAAAGAACAAGAAACCGAAGCAAGGAATAAACCTGTCTCATTTTATTCTTAGAGATCTAATTAGCATAATTGGGCCATGGAAACTTACGCTGGAAATCTTTCAACCATTTCAGTTCTCTTGCTCATGCAAAATCATGGAATTGGTTAACAGTGTTTGTTACCGAGCTAATGTAAAATTCAGCTATTAGAAAATTTGTCTACGTTTTTATAGGCATCTTTGCATGAAGAAGGCAGAAGTTTACATGAAGTGATACTGCATATTTTTGTTGCATGCATTCCCATAGATTTTTATGTCTCCCGTCCACACCCCCCCCAATTTCCATTTACTAACCTGTGAGAGAAATCTGTGAAACATAAAAGGAAATATCATGGGAAATGTGATTCTCCGTGTGATTCCAGTTATTGATAAGCACTAATCAGTAATGCTACAATGATCATAACTGCAGATTGCTGTATTTTTCCCTTTTAGAATCAGTGCATCAATGATCTTTGAACCATGACTTGAAAAGAAACTTTTAATTGGAAGATTTTATTAAATAGTTGTCTATGATAACCTTGCTGTACCTAAATAGTTTTTCTTCAACATCTTAATGCTTCTGAGTGGAATTTAAAATATCAGGTATATAAAGTTTCCTAGTACTAAAAAAAAAAAAAAAAAATAGAAAGTTATTTTTATTTTGTTTCATTTTGCTTTCAATTCCAAAAATAAGTGAAAACAGAAATAAGTTACTTGGAAGTAAAGTGTGATAATAGGACAAGCCTTCTTCTTTTCTGCATGTGAATCTAGAAGAAAATTCATAACCACACCAGTAACCAAATAGATGTTTTAAACTATGTGCCTAATATATATACTATTTCCCACCAAAGATTCAGAAAAAGATGCTTGAGAGAAATGGATTAATACATAATTAATTGGCCTTGTGGAGAAAATTTATGGTTCTTATGATTAATTTTTTGATGACTTAAACTCTGGAAGAGAGTGAATTACCCATTAATTATAATTAAAATTCTCACCTTACATAGACACTGGGCCACACAACACAATCAAAGCTCAATTGCTGATCTTGCTTTTTTGGTCATTTATAAATATAGGTATCTGTAATTTTTAATGGATCAGTTAAGTACACCTGAGAAAGTAAATGATCGTATCAGTTTTGCTCTGGAATAAATTGATACCTGCAATGCTATTAAGCTCATTGAAGCAAATCATGCATGCAGTTAGCCTTCTTCCATCAGCCTACACCACCCCATCTCTATGACATTTCAAATGTTTATTTGGAAATAATGACCCAGATCATTGTTTACGGTGTTCATGGGATGGCTAGAGTCTCTGTTTAAAGAAATTTCGGCATAGTTCTTTTCTTGCTGTTTCATGAAATCTATGCTATAAAATGAAATGCTTTTCTGAGCAGTTTGGATATTGTTCATTCATATTGACCTGCATCCCATCATTGCATGTTTTCTGTTTTTAAACATGCCATGAGGAAAACAAGTGCTTGAAATGCATGATTTATTAGTTTTTCTCTCCACTCTGCATTAAAGTACTAATGATTTATCAGTTCTGTTTTTCTATTGATTCATTCATCTTTGAATAACAAACAGCATTTAGTGATTCTGTTGAACACAATCCTGTGCATGGATTTATGGATTTCAAGTGAAATTGCTATAATTTTTGTTCTTCGGTTTGAAAACTCAACTGAATGCCGTTATATGAAATAGCTACTCTCAAGCAGTGTACTATAATGGAAGATTATGTATAAAGCATATTATTTTAGTGTTCCAGGAACATTACATGGTAAATATCAATCAACAATAAGTTTAATTGCTTTGAAAATAAAAGCTTTTGAATAAAATTAAGACATAATTTAGCATTCCCAGGAAAATGATCATTACAATTGCAAATGTAGCACAGCAATCACTTGCCCTAGTATAATAATAAAAAAAAAGTTATTTGGCAGAGCGTAATCTGGAGCAAAAGAAATCTCTCAAAACAGTAACACATGCATTACCAACATGATGTTACATAACACACATTGATTTTGTGTATCTATAGTTACAGGTAATAAATATTTTTTAAATACATTGACAAAGTTTGGTACAATAGGCAGGCAGGCTTTGTATCAAAACATATTCTGAATCCACACATGATTTTATGTGCAGTACACATACAGTTGTGTCTTGGCTACCTTTTATAGTATGTAGTTTGAAGGCAGCAACAGTCTGTGAATCCTTCTTAACCATCTGTGTGGTGGCGAGCTGCTGAGGAGATGGGGGCACCAGACAGTTCAAACAGCCTGCCTGTCAGACTCCCAGAGTTGTAGGAAAGGGATGCAGCTTTACTTCCGGGGTAGCTATGTAACTCTCATTAGTGCTAATAGTAGTTGTATTTTCAGTTAGGATCCATTGGTACAAATAATACATGTTCAAGCAGGAATCAAATGTTACTGTCTTCGACTCATTTTTGAAAGATCCTGATGTGCTTGCCCTCCGAGTACACTACTCCGGGGGTTTGGAAAGTAGTTTTAAAAGACCTACTTTGATCGTTTTGAAATCAGAGAAGATAGTCTTTCCATTTTTATGACCGCTTCAGGTGAAGAATATATATTTTCAGGAAAATTCTAAACTGAAAGTTCTATGTTTATTAAAATACTGAATAATGAATCTTAGCTTTTCAAGATAGAATTTGTTCTTCTATGCGTATGGGTGAGTGCCTGAGTGGTTGAGTCAACCTCTTTTTAATAGAAGAGATCTAGTAGTATCTAGTAGTTTTAAGTAGATGAAACTCTTAAGTAAAAATTAATATTGGGCTGTCAAGGGTCAGAGGAACAGGAGAAAAGAGATAGACATTTTGATAAACAGTGCTGTACACCGAGGTGATAAACAGACATTCCCGAAGAAACCTAGATATCCATGCTTCCCGTAGGAATGGAGATGTCTATATGGACCCGGAAATTTTAAAGGACATAAATGTATTTTTTCCACATGCATCTGTATACCATGTGTACTCAATGAGAAAGTGCTGGTCAGTTTATTGTGGATGAAGATGATAACTTGTAGAAAGTAAAGAAAATGAACTTTTAAAACAGTTTTTTATGTTTAGACGATTTATGTGATTATAGCCATAACAAAGCAGAAGGCTCAGATGTTTAGTGTAGTCTACTGCAGGTAGAAATGTACATTTGATTAAGAACTAATGAATCGCCTATATGTTTCCGCATTTTCTTTCTTTTTTTTCTTTTTTATGGGGATGGGAAATAATTGCAATTTTCAAGGAAGAATCTGTTTTGAATCCCAGGCTGTATTCTACTTGAATGAGACAAAACTTTTAAATGGTTCCATACCTTTTTGTGTCAGTTTGTTGTTTATTGATTATAAAAAGGAAAATGTACCTATCATGGCACATATAACCCCCAAACGATTATTCAGATACAGTATGTATATTCTAAACTAAACGATGAAGCCCTTGTAATATATGTTGAGGATGTAAAATTTAAATAAATAAATAAACAAGCAAAACCCGCAAAAGAGCTTTTGTTTTGTGACAGGCAGACATTGCCCCTTAAGTCTCCCGACTGAATTGCATTCTGTTTAAATAAAGTTTGAATACACTTGCAACTCAAGGATTCTGTACATCCTTATTGCATTAAAAACATAGAAGTCGTTTAATTACAGTGTCTTAATTATTTTTCAGAAAGTGTTATGTACAATAACCTCTTTTTTGAGATAAAAGTGTTAACCACCCAGTTAAGTGTCACTCCTTCCTGCCATTTTGGCCAGATTTTGTCTGTACATGAATTTGCAAAGCATTTGCCGTCCGTCTGTCCCACTGAATGTCCACCGGTGACTACCAGGCCAGCCACCCTGTCTTTTGTCAGGGAGGAAGGAGTCTGGGCATTTGGCAACTGAATTCTATGTCATTAAGAACTGTACCATTCTAGTTTGTGCTGCTTTGGCCCAAAGCTGCCACTATGAATATAAATCCAGCAATTTCAGAGATCCCATGAACACCAACAGACTGGATGATAGAGCCTTCTGGACTAAAAGATTAAGTCAGGGGTTCTGTGAGGGTTTACACTGAATTTTCTGGAGGAAACCATCTAATTTCATTTTGTGTAAAAGACGTCAGCAGATCTCTCATGGGCTTTGACTAGGTAGGATATTTTGCAAAGGGGTTGAAGCAGTAAAATGCTGTAATTCTTTGGGTTCCTTCTACTGAGGTCAAGATTGGCTACCCAGGGTGTTCTCTGGTGTCCTCGTGGAAGCAGTGGATGCTAGATCTGGGACAGCACTCTGGGACTCTGCTATGTGATTGGCCAGGCTGCTCCTTTCTCTTTTGGAATGGGCCGATGCCAGTAAGATAACTAGGAGGTAACTTGAAGGTGAATCTGCTTCTGGAAGCTGTAAGAAGGTTCTGAAGACAGAAGTGTGAACTGTAATTTAGCTGCACATTTTATAAACTATAGCTCAGAGGAAAGTTTATCTCTGTAAGCCTCAATTTTCTCATCTCTCCAATAGGGATAAACATAGAATCTATCTCAGAGTTGTTGTGAGAATTAAGTAGAGATAATTTTCTAAATAATTTTCTGTTAGGAAATGGGCAGATCTATTTTCTGGCTGCAATGGAAATGCAATCCTCAAAGCATTGGCGGCAGCAGTAGATTTCTCTTTGTCCCCACTTCCATCCTTCCTCTGTAATACCAATTCTAGTTTTCTAGAAGTTGATGATACTCCATATTTTACATGATAAAGGTACAAAATTCTCAGGCAAACAAGAGCTTTCATAAGCTGGATCTTATCAACCATTCCTATATCCACTTTCCTCTTAACCTCACGTGCACACTTAGCTCTAGACACACGGTTCTACCTGCATTTCACTGCTGTGTTGTCTTGACTGTGCACTTTGGCATTATGCTCACTGGCGCATTCACTTGCTCAGAGGCTTGTTCACTTGTGGTTCACAAGACTCACTCTTGTCTAGAAGCATTAGAGTGATTTTGGTGATTCTCTGTTGTGCTCTTTTAAGACTCTGATGCCTGTGGTAAAGTTTTTCGGTTTTGTTTATGTAATGTTTATTCACTTTCTGAAAGAGAGAGAAAAATACAGAGCTTGAGCGGTCAAGGGGCAGAGAGAGAGGGAGACACAGAATCTGAAGCAGGCTCCAAGCTCTGAGCTGTCAGCAAAGAACCCAACCTAGCGCTCAAACTCACAGACCATGAGATCATGACCTGAGCCAAAGTCAAACGCTTAACCGACAGAGCCACCCAGGTGCCCCTAAAGGTTTTTACTCTGTATTTTAAATGGTTACTTGTCTGATTCTTTCATTAAACTGGTGAGTCATTTGAAAGCCAGCCCTGCAGTCTAGTCACTGCTATTTCCCTGGGGCCATCCCGTGTTAGATATCCAATATTTTTTTTAATAAATATATGAGACCGCTACCGAACCTACCAAGTTCCCAAAAAGTATGTATTACTTCTTTCAGAACAAATTATAAAAATTGATATTCAACAAATCATAAAAATAAGACTTTTGGGGGTGCCTGCATGGATCAGTCGTTTAAGCATCTGAGTCTTGATTTCGACTCGGGTCATGATCTGGTGGTTCTGTTTGTGAGTTCAGCTCTGCATCAGT